TGACAAAGATTATGACATTATGGAACCGCCCGACCTGAGCCTACTGATGAATTGCGTAAAAGACTTGGCAACACAAAGGGAAACCAATGTATCTCCATCTTCTTCCTCCCGGCCTGTCGGAAATCCATCAAAGTCGAATTTCGAAACTCTTAATAAATATGAAAACCAAACTCCACAATATTTCGATAATAATAAAGATAGTTTCGAAGATGCGATGGATATCAATGATAATCCTCCCAACGTTTACGATGAAGAACCATCTTGCAGTTTTTCTATTTCTGAAAGAGTAAGAGCACGATTGCATTCACGTTGTATTAAAATCTTCTATCGCTTAATTCGCTCAACTTTGACGATGATAGGAAGCACGAAATGATCCCAATAATGAAATGAATGTCTCGGTTCCGATGGACGTAACGCGTATGGATGACGATGATGATGATGAATCAATTCAGCGCGGTTCTTTTGTTAGCGCGAAGCATCAATATTTACAAGTTACAAAAATCCATTCGCTTTCCTTTCTTACGATAATGCTTACATTAACATTGCAATTTATTTCGTAAAAGAAAGGTCACCACTTACCATCACCGTCATCGTCATCATCCAATAGACGATGTCTAGGTAATAAGCTGTCTACTCCGGGACTGTCTAAAAAGAGAATTATGGGAACAATGAATCAGTCCATCAGAAAAGGAAAATTCGTTTCACCATTGCTAAAACGCAAGGAAAACCATGGAGACGGTTCAAAGTATAGCAGAAAAGATTATTCGTATGTATTGAATTTTGCGTCTTATGATTATCCCACCAAGAATTATTAATTTCGCTACTGTTGCAAGTTACAACCCTTTGGTTTCTAAAAGAAATGAAGATACTGAGGAGGAAATAGATGAAAGATTAAAGAACATCGAACCAAAGATGATAGAATTAATACAAAGCGAGGTATTGTATGAACTTATTCGTCATGGGCGCACATATGTAAACAACTTTACGAAGGTCACAACATTCCAGATAATGGATCGAACCCTGAATATTACATGGGACGACATTGCTGGACTCGAACACGCAAAAAA